CACGCAGCCCCAGATCCCACAAAACCAACCAGCTTCAGCCCGTCCAGGAACTTCTCCGAGGTGGAGTGGGAGGCCCCAGCAGAGGGCGGGGTGGGGGGCACACTCTCCCAGAGGCATGTGGTGGCCAGCAGGCAGGCGAGGCCGGCAGGGATGATGAAGATGCCCAGCTGGAGGGAGGAGTGTGCACGTGTGTGTGCGCGCGCGCGCACCTGCGGGCCCCGCGGACGCATGCACGTGCACGGGCCCTCAGGCTTGCCGCTCTGGGCTCCATGCCACCCTTACCCACCAGCCCTAGGCGGAAGTCGGTGAACTCAGGGCTGTGGTGGGCCTGCTTGCCTCTGTTGCATCTGGAACCCCAGCTTTCAAAGTATCACTCCAGGATGACACCACAGTGACTCTCTCCCAAAGCTCAAGTCACCCATCCAACGCCCCTGGACCACCCCCTCCCACCTCTGTGAATGTCCCCAACAGTCACTCAGGGAACAGCTGGAAGCCCCTCATCCCTCATGTCACCTCAAACCCTCAGCCCGAACCTGCCCCACTCCCCCACCTGAGCAAAGCCCCAACTCTCTCAGGACCCTCCAGCCACATGCCTCTCACCCCAAGTGGTTCTGGACCAGATCGAGTCACTCTCCTCTTGGATACTCCAGAGCTTTCTTTACACCAACACCAACCACCCACCACCTGGGCTGACCCTTCCTGCTGCCCCCCCTGGCTCAGCCCCCATCCCTCCTTGCACCCACCTTGGGGCCTTTCTATGCTTGTCCCTCATCTCCTCCCCGGTCCTCCCACAAATGCCCTCTACTCCAGCCAGTCTCATCCTCCTCACTGAGGCCTCTCCACACCAAGGAAACCGCCTGACACCCTGGTCTCTAGGACAGTGCCCCACACTGAGAAGGTGCCCAGGACTCACACAGTTGGAGAAATCCTGTGAGATGAGTGCACTGCCCCGTGTGACCACAAGGAGGGGCAGGTGCACACTCTTACAGACAGGTGTGGACACACTTGTGCACACCAGAGCCCATAATGCACGCAAGCACACATGCGCGTACACACCACAGAAATATACACACATACCACTCAAACATGCACGTGTGCACACACCACACGCGTGTGAGTGTACCCTATGAGCTCCCTCACCATTATGGGGATGTCATCCTCCTTCCTCACCAGGGCAGGTGACAGCACATTGGCCAGCAGGATGCCCAGGGGGTTTGCTGGATGGATGGATAGAGACACACATCAGGTCAGCCACGGCCTGGCCTGGTCCCCAGCCCACAGTGGAGCCCTCCGCCCTCCAAGAGCTGGGAGCACAGAGGTACCAGGACGGGTTCACTGAGCCAGAGGAGACCGCCGGCCTCACCCCCTCAACTTACCCATGGTGCCGATCATGTTGGCCGTGGCTCGCTGGTGTTCGGGGAACCACAAAGCAGCCAGCTTGGCCGGAGAGAAGATGACCAGGGTCTGGGCCAGGGCACAGAGGCTCTGGCCACCCATGAGGCAGGCAAACGGATCATGGATCGCAGTAACTATGTAGGGCAGGGTACGGAGCACACTCCCGGCAAAGTTCAGCCACGCGCACAGGACAGTCTGCAGGGACAAGGGCAGGGGCTTTGCCTGGCCCGCCTGGATGCCCTCCCAGTACTGCCCCAATGGCTCTGCCTGGAGACCCAGGTCTGGGGAGGCGGCAATGGCTCTCTAGTCCTGGGGGACCCTGCCCCACCCTGAGCCGGCCCTGCTGAGGGATCTAACTCACCGCCCAGCGGAGCCCGACTGAGTCCAGAACCCAGATGGCCACCATGCCGGCTGGGATGGACACCACAAGGTAGACCAGTGAGAGCCAGTTGACCTGCTCAGTGGACAGGAGGAAGTGCTGGGCGATGGTGTCAGCCACGGGTGCAAAGCTGAGCCACAGCTGTGGGACATATGCAGGGGTCAGCCTAGGAGGAAGGGCACAGACACCGCAGACACCTGCTGTCCTGGCCTTGGCCAGCTGGACTGACAAAGTGTCCAGCAGCTCTGTAGTGGCCAGGATCTTCTCCTGGTCACCCCCAAGGAAGGCTACCATGTAGAGGGGTTCAGACAGCATGCCTGGACATGGCTGGAGCACAGAAGCTGGAGGAGGTGTCAGGATGGGGGAGCCAGTGGCCCTGGCCCCCAGGTGCATGGACAGGCCGGGCAGAGGGGCGTGTTTGGGGAGACAGTGCCTGTGGTGGGTGCCCAGGTGGACAAGGACAGGAGGCAGGGTGGGCCAAGAGCTATGGATGGCCAGGTGGAAGAGATGGTGGGAGGGATACCGGGGGAGGGGACAGAAGACAGCCCAAAAGGCATCCCCAGCCTGTCTGCAAACTTGGTCTCAAGAGGAAACACCTGAACTATGTGGGGGCCCTGCCCCAGGCCAGCCCCACCTCCCCCACAGGAGACCCAGGTGTTTGGGAAGTGAGAGCTTCCTGTATCAAGAGACATTTCCCAGCTGTTGGTGCTATCGCCCATTCGACTCCTTACTCAGCAGACCTCCAGCAAACAGTGAGTGCAGGAAGGCTTCCTGGAGGAAGTGAAACAGCCTCTGGTCCCTGAAGGGTGGGCGGGACAAGAGGAGAGGACCGGCTTGCCTAGGCTTACAGCAGGAAGGAGGAGGGAGGGGGAGGGGGGCCAGAGGGTGTCACAAATGCAACTTCATGATCCTTCAGCTGGGAGACAACCCAGGAGCTTGCCCCAGGCCAACCCCTCTGTGGCAGAGGCAGGAGGCCAAGGCTTCTCCACAGAGTTCCTACCGACGACCCTCATGTGACAACCAGGTGCAGTAGCAGCCGCCTTGTCTCACTTTTTTAAAGAACAGAGCAGGGGAGATCTCCCGGGTTCAGAAAGAGTCCCCAGGCAGGCCCCAGCAGCTTGATCCAGAGGAGACCACGTGGCCCTCAAGCAGAGTCCACCCCTCGCCTTCATCTGGGTCCTCCCCAGAGCGAGTGGCCGGCAGAGCAGGGATAGGTCCTGCTGCCAACTGAAGCCTTGAGTTACTCAGTGGCCAAATGCGGCCCAACCCGGCCCTGTGGGTCTGTGGGAGGACGAGGAATCCACACAGGCTCTCAGGCACAGGGGGAGGGGAGGTGTGTGGGGGCCCAGTGTAGCCCTATGGGCAGTACCACAGCCTGGCCCACAAGTAGGTGGCCACGTGAAGGTCAGGTGTGGGGAGGGTGGCTCCAAGCCCCTGAAGGGCTTCAGAACAGGCCTCCCCAGGACATGCCACTTTGGCATATGAGTTTATTATTTTTTAAATCCTCACCGGAGGAGTGAGGGTATTTTTCCATTGATTTTTAGAGAGTAGAAGGGAGGGGGAGGGAGGGGAAGGAGGAGAGAGAGAGAGAGAGAGAGAGAGGGAGAGAGGAACCTTGATATGAGAGAGACACATTGGTTGCCTCCTGCACGTGCCCAGATGGGGGCCAGGGTCTGAACTTGCAACCGGGGTACATACCCTTGACCAGAAATTGAACCCTTGACCCTCCCGTGCGCAGGCCGACACTCTAACCACTGAACCACGCTGGCTAAGGCAGCAAGTGAGTTATTTTGAGTTGTAGGCAGTTGAGACCCTGCAGCTTCACAAGAAACTTCTACCTCTCCCTTAAAGAACTTAGATTAGCTCAGCAGATGAGCATCGACCTAGGATCCGGGTTTGATTCCCGGTCAGGGCACATGCTGGGGTTGCAGGCTCGATCCCCAGTCGGGGGCATGCAGGAGGCGGCCAATCAATGACTCTTTTGTCATTGATATTTCTATCTCTCTCTCTCCCTCTCCTTTCCTCTCTCTGAAATCAATAAAGGTATATTTAAAAAAAGAACTTAGATTAAGGGCCTTGCCCATCATAAGAGTCATCACCAGAAACAACTTCCATCCTGTCTAGAGGGCAGGGCAAGCTTCTCACTGATGGACACCTGCTCTTGATATCTGCAATGCCCTCCTGCCGGCTGACACCCCAAGTGCTTCAGGGCCTCCTCAGCTCGTAAAGCCCTCTGTGCCTCATTTTATCTGACTGTCTTGCATGGGGGAGGGGGGCACAGGTACATGTGTAACTAAATATGGTTATTTCATCGTGTTCCTCTGCCTCCTGTCAATCTGTTTATTAGAGCAGCAGGAAGAAAGGAGAAAGGCAGGAGATTCTTTCTCACCACCCCCCCCCAAGTGCATGTCGATGCCTGTTCAAGGGACATGGGAGTGGCCCAACCGGGTGCAGAGGTGGAGAAAGGTTCGCTCACTGGGCCTACCTGTAGGTGAAGGGCTGGGGACAGAGGAGCACAGGCCTCTGGGTAGAGCAATTGGGGGCTCAGGGGTGAATGTGGGGAGGAGCAGGGTGGGGGCGCTGGGCCTGGGAACTGGCTGACCCCTGATCTCGGGGCTGAGTCCCTGCCAGCAGGGGAGACAACTCTAGACCGGGTGGACCCCAGCTGGGAGCTAAGGAGGAGGGGCAGGTAAGGAAGGCCTCCTGAGGGCCCTGAGAGCTGAATGAGAAACCCAGGAGGGCGTCTGGGCGCAGACAGCAGAGGACCTGCCCCACGTCCGGGGCGGGGGCAGGAGCCAGGTCCAGAAGGCCTGTCCCACGTGTAGGGTTTCTCAGAGGCAGCGGGGACGTCTGCAGGATGCCCTTCATCTGTCCAGTGACTCCTACCCGTCACGTCTCAGGGGGGTCCTCAGAGACCACCGTAGGTCAGGGGGCCCGGGCTCAGCCAGCCAGGCGACACACCAGCCCTTCTCTCCGCGCGCGGCCCCAGCCGGGAGACGGGGCTCTGTCCCGGCACCTCCGCCCCTGCGTGGCCGCAGGACTCCCCCGCCCCTGCGGTGCCTTCGCCCCGGAACAGACGCGCGCCCCGGGCGCACGGCCGCACCG